CGTTAAAGTGATTTAATGTTAAAGACCTTTTTTTTTTCATTTATTTATCATGTACACCATTGCACAAACAAAACGTACCCGGCTGAAAGCCCACAATGCAATAGTACAGGGTGATTCATTGGCCATAAGACACACATTTAAATTCAAATAATTTTTGATTTAAAAATTAAGTTTAATACATACAGTAACGTTTCAGTTTCAAAATCCGATAGAGCTCTGGAAAATACTATAAAAGTGAAATGTTTAATTTTTATATAATGTTATATAATTACATGTAAAAAAAACCTGTGAACAGAACAGAATGTTGTCAGCCTAATGGTTGACATGTTTCTCTCATTTTTTTTACATTCATTATAAAAACTGCAATCGAAAAAGTATTTTTATTTTTCATTACACTTTTTTTAATTTTTTTTTTAAGTAAATGGTACTTGTGATAAAACGAATTTATTAAAATTAAAAATATTATTATTACCGCAGTATAAAGTGTAAAAGAACAAATTGAAAAACATCATAATATTATTATAAAGAGCAGTAAACGGTCTTTACGGTCATAATTTGTTTTTTTTTAATTTACACATTTTATGCGACCGAATTTCGCAACATCAAATCCAGTGTACAATATACATAATTTATGTGTTTTGCTTTTGTGCGGTCACAATAATGGCTTTTAAGACATACAATTTATTAAACTCCTCTTTGGCTATTTAATTCGCCTCTTATTTACATTCGGAATATTATGTAGTAAAATAGACTTGAATACACGTGTACGTTATTTGCATCTTTATCGTTGTTTTACATATTTTCATGTACATTTTATACTTTGCACGCAATGTTATTTCGAAACATTCTTTTTATTTATAAAATCATTTTTTTTTATATACACATTTCAATTCCACTATATTGTTTTATGGCCACGCTTTGTAATATTGTCATGGAAAATGAGTGTCTTACTTACGTTAAATTCATCACACTGTATTTATCATTAACTCGTGGAATTTAAAATTAAAACACTTAATTTAACTTGACGAGAGTTTATACAGCCATGTCATACTGTAGTCGATGGGTAGCGTTTCTTTTTTCATCTCTACAAAAACTTTTTTCATTCATTGTCCGGACAGCACCGTTTATCAGTTTAGAAAAAAGAGTTAATTGTTTGCGTTTAAAACAAAATGGACAGTTTCTAGAATACTGCGGTTCCAAAAAAAAAAAAAAAACGAATCACTGAAAACCATCTTAGTGAATCAACATTGGGGTTAAAATTAGTAATGGCAAATTATTTTCTTAGAATACTCAACAGTAGATTATTTTTTAATTTACCGACTTGAGTGACGATTTTTAAATTATTTTTTTTTTATATAATATTTATTATGCAAGTTCTTTGAAATTTGTTTGTATCCTTTAAATATATTTTACGACCCTTTCGGGTTTATGGCCTCGTCCGATTTGTCCATATTTTTCACTGATCTGTAAATACACGCAGATTTTAAATCCTTACATTTATTTATAAACCTCGATTGAAATTCTTTATTTATTTTGTTAGAGTACTCTTATATCGTTCTGCTTACTAGTGTTTGTTATAATTATTGTCTCCATCTCCGACCATAACAATTCAGATGGATAAACTTACTTATGTATTTTGTTTATTTAAGTATTATACACTTGGCATAACGAAACACAGTGTTTAATTGTTAGGAAATGGCTGTTCTGGCGCCAGTCGGTTTTCGTATAATATATCTTGTATTGTGCGGTTTGCACAGTAGTAAGGAGAATTTATTGGAGCTTATGCCATTCGACTGAAATAAACGACAGTTCCAGTACAATAATTTAACTACAAAGAATGATTGAAAGCGATAAATGTATAAAAAAATATAATTAAAGATGGGTTTGCATTAATGGGTTGGGCAAATTTAAACGAAACAAATTTAAACAAAAACCGATCATTCCAACTTAAAATGCAGCTACTCAATCAATGGATAGATTTCATTTTATTAGCATTCACGTTATTATAATTTTAAACATTTTTTCACTCTAGTGTGGCTTTGTGTAAAGAATTATGCGAAGCCGTAGGCTCCGTTTATTCCATAATTCCATATTTAATGAAAAACTATAAAAAAAAAAATAATAATAATAATCAAACGTACATTTGAAGGCCATAGTGCATGTTTTTTACTTAAACTGAGACTAGGATTTAATTATTACATTTTAATACATTATCACGTTTCAGCGAGTGTTCTCTATTGATGTGTCTTCTGAGAACAATAATCCTATTTTGAATAAGTCCAGACATATTAAGATAGATATATGATTGTGAAGTGGATTATTGTTTGTCTAGTATACATACAATATTGTGTCAATTTAACTGTCACAATATCAAATAGTCTTACTTTAAGCAAGTCGAGTAGGCATGTGTGGCATTCCTTTGAAGAGATAATACAGTTATGCCTACTGTTATGTATGAAACATGAAATACTTCCCTATAGTTTGTTGGCGAGAATTTGTAGTTTCTCAGATGAATTATAATGTTATATCTAATACCTCGAAAGGATCGTACTTACCTAAGTTTTTTAAAGAGATATAAACCAAATATTCAACAACCACCATAAATAGTTTAAACTTTAATGAAGACCGACCATCTGGAAGTCACGTTTATAGTGAGATGTGAAATCATTGCTGTCTACACTTGTATGTGTGGCATTTCTTTGACGTCAACAAATCCTTCAAGTAGCTTAACTGGCTTAATAAATATAATAAAATATTACGACTTAACACGGTGGAATACTTTGCGTGCGAGTATTGACAGAGATTGTGTAAATAATATTAGTTAAAAGTGTCGATAAACACTGTGTGTGTTGCATAAATGAAAAAAAAAATGTGTTTGTCAAATGTACAAATTAGTGATTGGTTAACTATGACCCAGTCGATATCTTAGATGAAATATATAACCACATACCAAATATATGTACACACTCAATTCAAAAAGTTAAGATAGTATGCTTAATGCTTATACGGTACAGTTTAAAAATTTTAAGTTCATAGGGTCTTAACTCTTAACACGGCATATGAGATGGGGTCTTATTGGTAAATAATGTATCCAATATGGGCTAACTAATAACTATGAAAGTATAAAAACGAATAAATTAAAGAAGTCTTATATCTTTGCATATATTACATTGGCTATATATATATATATATATATACCAATCATTCTGTTTTAGCTGCAGTAAAAGCAAAATTGCAGTAAACTTTAACACGTATAACACATAAGTAAACGTAGAAAATTTAATAATCTTGTTCGCTAATACTTTTTGGTAAAAAATGTACTTTTGAGAAAAAATACCTTTTAGTGTAGTAAAGTAAAAGGGTGTGGAAATGACGTTAAACGTGACATAAGGGTAAAACGTAAATTAACACTTGTAGTGGACCAAAAAAAAAACCATATACATATATATAATACATAAGTGTTGTAAGTACACCTTGAGGCTTATAATGGACGCAGTTGTAAGAAAATGTTAGAGCGTGGTGTTGACACGAGAGGTAAGATGTGTGCTCAGAGAAGAGTGATTGAATGAAATATTTGTCAAGTCGTCGAAAGCAAGAACAGAAGAAGGTATGTCGAGTAGGTTTCAATATAAGTACAAGTGTAAAATAGTGAAAAAGAATAGTTATTAGTGTTAGGACAACGCTATTATCATGATATGTACAGGGTGATTAGTTGCCTATGACAATCTTTGGAGATATAGGACTTTTTAGAACTAGGCTATTTTTATACTTTTATAATTATTATTCCGTCCAATTTTAATAGTTTTTCAAAAATAAAACGTCATCCCTATGTGTAAAAACCTTATGAACATAAGGTTTTTAAAAGGTTACACATTTTGTGAAATTGTTAAATTAAGAATAATTTTCTGAAAATGTTGACTGGTCGATAACCGTTTTTGAAACCTTTGAATGCATTTGGACTGTGACGAATCTGCTTTCAGAATTAATAAAGGCCTTTATTCCACTTTGTCAAGAGAAAATTTGCCAGTTAAAAACGTAGCTAATTGTTTTTTTTTTTGGACTGAATTCCATAATTTCAATTAAAGCAAAGTGTAGGGTAGTGTTTACGAAAGGGTTGTTTTTTTTTGTGGGAGCTTAGGCCCCCCAGGCCTCCCTGATTGAATATATATTATATATGTATTAATGTGTGGTTTTTTATATTTTTCCATTATTAATGACCGAAAAATATGCATAAATAAAAAAAAAAAATGTTTATTGGTACCAAAAAGTGTCAAAAATAAGTGACTGAATGGGATAAAAGTGACAAGTGTTCAGCCTTGGGTCATTAAAAAAAAAAATAATAATAAGTATGGGACTAGTAGGGAAACAACGGTGGAATCGTGTGCGAAACGGTCATGCTGCGATAATTAAATTGATTCACAAATGAAGTTGTGCAGTATCTATTTGTTCTCACTCTGAACTTATTTTATGACAACGCATACTGTTAAAAAAAAATTAAAAAACCGAGTTTAGTTTTGCAATAGAAACGATTCGTATAACCGAAACGATATTCAATGACTTCCGGGCCGTTGAGCCGAGGTCTTATCCTTATCACTGACGGCTTCTGCCTCCGTCATATTGTGTAACATATAACCGCAACTTACTCAGCCGAAACGAATATCTTATCGATGCGGTGCAATGGACTGTTTTCGTCTATTGCTAACGTGAATATGTCTAATGTCAACTCGAAAATTGATAACCTAACCAGAAATTGTATAATTAATAAACTATTAATTTATTCGAAAAATGTATCGACAAATTTATTGACTAGCAATTTATTTAGCTACAAAGATCAATAGCAGGTCTCAAAAATCAATCAAATTCAGAAAATAACACTAACACAATTTTGGAAAATGCCTACAACAGAAGGGAATTTTTCCTTTTGTCATTTTTCCAAATCACTCATTCCCACTTGAAATGTAAAAATTGTTTAATCATTTTTTTTTATCTATATCCCATAGGGCCGAAAACATGGCGTCACCGCGACGATGGTCGATCGTGGTCGGGGCGTTCGTGGTGCTGACGGTCGCCGCGCACTGCTGGACGCCCAGAAACGGTTCAACCATACAGGTCAACAGCCGGCCTCTGGACTTCTACGCTCCTTCCAACATCGGTCGTGGCCAGAGCGCCATCAAGCTGGGCGTGCTCAAGAACCGACTGAAAGAACCCGTGCAGATATCGACCACGCCGATTTCGACAACCACCAGTACGGAGAGATTCCGCCGTCAACAGCCCACCGTGCCCAGGTTGATGGCCCGACGTCAGCACCAGAACCTCACCATCGGCCTAGTGTTGCCGTACAAGTCATTCGACACGCGCATCTACACCAAAGAGTTTTCGGCCGCCATTCACGGTCTGCAGAGGATCTTCTCCAAGTCATCCACGCACACCAACATATTCAAATCGTACGACATCCATCACATCATAGCCATGAAACAGTTGACGCCCACTCCTACAGGTAACGATCATTGGATATCATTGTATATGTACTCCGTGTCGCGTGAGAGCATACTTGTGCAGAAACAAAACTTATGCACGTGGGCAGCCAGAAGTAACACGTTTTGGTTTCTGCGCAACTAAGCTCTCTCGTGGCACAGAGTATAGTAGTTATACTAGCCCCCGAAAAATCGAATTCCTTATAGCGACGGGCATCCTTGTATTATCTTGTGTAGCAAAATTACACAATTCTTCGAGGAAGATGCCCAAAGAATGTGCCGCAGTTTTTCCGATCCGGGACTCCCTACAGATCAGCACGTTAGGTTACTTACCTCCCGGTGTTGTTATTAGGTATCCTTCGTTACGACCGTTGGTTTAAAAATACATTTCATTGCCCGATTCTGACCATATTTAAGGTCTTTGAACAAATAAGTCATAGTGTTATGTCAAATTGCAGTCTACGGACTAAGATAAACTGGAAAGAATCAGATGGAACTCGGTTGTTACCGGGATGGTATACGGTTAGGTTGTTTATAATGTTATCTATCATTCACTTTCCAGTTTAAAACATACTGTACACATTCTATACTAAATAGTAGTACCTACATAAATTGTAAAATAGATGTCGCAAAAAACACTAGCCATTATCGTTATAAATGGTTTCTGCTTTCGGTTAAAACCTAACCTAACCTTACCGATATTTCGAATTCGACTAAACATACTTAAAGTTATTTTGCCAACCCCTAAACCCTACTAAATAGGTTGCCATTTTTTATAACGATCAGACCATTATGCATGTGGTTGTTTGCTACAAAACGAAGAGACAGGTAAATGCGTGTTGTTAATATATCTCTTCGACTTTTGGTATGGTGAATGAAATATGGTGCTAAAAAGTACAAACCATTAAAACGGTGAAATTTACATCTGTCGTTAGTCACGTACGAACCGTCCCGGTTTCCAGAATCCAATTAACAGACAAGGAAGAAGTACATAGTAAACTGTAAACGGTCATTGCTATTGTGATGACAAGTAAATATTTTTTTTATTTCCACTGTTGATTTACTCTACTTATATTATTAGTCTAGCAAATAAAGAGTTTCCCATAAATTAGTTTTTCCGCCTAACTTACTGAAGCCCAATGAGAAATTCTATATATTCATATTTTAAGGCAATAAAAATCAGTACATAACACCTAAAAGAATTGAACATTTTTTAAAAAGTGTTTAGACTTGAGTAAGTGTAAAAATTGTCCAAATAAAATGTATTGTCTTGTTTTTTTTTTTTATTATTTTTTAAAAACATTTACAATCTGTACATAAATATTATACAATAAGCAAATATGTTAACAAAGTAAATATGTAACTTGGAGACTTTGGGTAGGGAACCTATCCAGTGATAGGACCCTATGACATGTTACGGCTAGAAATTAAACGGTAGCATTACAAGTTAGGAGGTCCCGACACCAACGTCTTTTAAGACGACGAGGGGGGTTGTCCGGGATAGTAGCTGTGTGCTGGCTTGCTATTAAAGGATTTGAGTGGAGCAGTAATCTAGAGTGGAATTTTTTATAATGAGTCTTAACTAAATTTTCAACTGATTCGATGTGTAAGTCATTGTGAAGGGTGAGGTTGGAAACATACCATGGAGCGGACGTGATTGTACGGAGGGAAATCGATTGGAAAGCTTCTATTCTTTTTAGTTGGGATGGTTTGGCACAACCCCATATTTGAGCTCCGTATGACCAAATTGGTCTTAACATTGACTTATAAATAAGAATTTTGTTATGAAGCGGGAGTTTGGATTTCAGTATAGGACGTAGTAAGTGCGAGCGAGTATTTAGAGACTTCCTTTTTGATTTTAGGTGGGGGCCCCAGGTTAGTCTTTTATCTAAAATAATACCTAAATATTTGACTTGAGACAAGGAAGGGATAGGAACTTCTTGGAGGGTGAGAATAGGCGTATTTTTTTTATTGAGTGTGAAAGAAACATGTACAGATTTTTCTGCATTAATTTTAATTTTCCAGTTTGAGGACCATTTTCCAATTAGATCGAGGTGTTGTTGAAGAGCATTAAATGCTTCGGTGGGGTCTCTATTGGAGGATAGAATAGCTGTGTCATCGGCGTAGGTGGCTAGAATAGTGTTTTGGGTGTGAGGGATGTCTGAAGTGAAAATGTTGTAGAGGTCAGGCGAAAGATCACTTCCCTGAGGAACTCCTGCTAATATAGGAAAGAGGGAGGAAAAGGCATTACCATGACGAACTTTAAATGAACGATTTTCAAGGTATGATCGAATTAGTAAATAAAGAGGAGCAGGGAGGAATAATTTGATTTTATACAACAATCCGGTATACAACAAACTCTGTCAAAGGCTTGTGCTACATCATTGTCTTGTTAAAAATTTAATAAAAAATTGATAAATGATGAATTTGTAATATTTAGTACATTATTGCATAACAAACAATTTGATAATATAAAACCCAAAATCATTTACGCCGGTTTGGCTCAGGTAAATATTTGAATAGGTCTGATCTTATATTGTAAAATAGGATAAGGTTGAATGTATCATAAAAGAGAAACTACGAAATTACAATTATTTTAGCAGAAGATCAGTGTGTTTTACGTTGAATGGATCACCCAGCACATTTAGTAAACGAATGGGAAAACTATACAAATGAACCAGCTATTGCTTGTGCGTTTATTTTGGATACGACAGCGGCTATATTGAAAATGGCGTCGGATAAAACGTATCGGGGAATGCTATTTTTGATCATTTTTCAAAATGGGTTCGTCGCACACTCGGAATGCGTTTTTCGCTGTTGACGGTAAAAAGTCTCCCCCGAGACAAACCAAGACGGTATGCTACCAAGCATTTGGACTATTTGCATACTCCGAGTATTCGGCAACACTTACACACTATCTGTAGTATTATAGCTCATACGGTTCCGCGCCTTTCAATTTAAAGAATATAATATGTACACATTTATATACTGTGCACTATGTCACGACTGAAGGGGACATGGGGGCAAGCAATTTATTTTCCAAGCACACCACCCGCGAATGGGATAGAGAGGGGAACGATAAAAGGACGAGGAAAAGGTGCAGAGGGTAAAGGAAGGGAATGGAATATTGAAATTCAGTTGATAATTTAACCGGAATTCATTTCATATATTCCATGAACCGATGTGTTTCCTTCCAAGGAAATATTGATTTAAATAAAAATAATAATTTCGATTGTAACGAAGTTGCGTTTCTAACTCAAAGGTAATTCAAATAATAAGTTGAGTATAATTCAACTTTTTAGACACAATATTTTTTTCAAAAAAAAATCGTTTTTTTCATATTTTACTATACATTATACTACTATTATTCAGAATTAGAACTTTTTAATTAGCATAATTTATAATTTTTTTTTTATAAAAAGCGACCAATAGTTGATCATCGAAATCGCTCTTACGATTTTGACGATACTATATGGATATTTATATTTTATGACTCTTATAAATCCATAAATTATAATCACTTTATGAAAAGAAAAGAAAAAATAGTTAACAAAAAAATAAATCGAAACGACAAAAAATTTTAGATACTTAGTCTAATTTTCGAGTATCAAATAATAAATCTATCAATACAAATTGTTTTTAATTATTTTATTTTTAACGGATTTAATGATGTGTAGTTGAAAATAAATATTAAATTTTAATGTATACTACATATTTTTATTAGGACACATTAGTTTTATTCTGTTTAAAATCGATAAAATAATATTAAGCCAGTTGGTAAATAAATTTAAGTATTTTATAATAATTTTTTTGGCTAGACATTTAATGTCTTACGGCATGAAGTTTATCAATTTTCTATGTTCTAATTATATAAATAATATTTAAAAAATATTTGTAAGATTTTAAAATCTTTGACAAAAAATAATTATAATTTAGAATTAATACAAATTATTTTTTAAATATTTAATGTTCTTTTTTTTTGGTGCTTATATTTAGATGTATTGATAAATTAATAATAAATTGACGAAGAAAATGTAACGTTTTAAGTGGTTTTTTTTAATATATTTAGGCTCCGTATCGTGATACTTATAATTTTAATAACGTTATGAATATTATCAACGCCGGTACTATATTTTAGTACTTTTTAATTTATCGCATGACTAACAACGACTTGGTTAAGCACAAGCTATCAAATACAAAATGGTATTAATAATCGTCGCCCGTTGTCGTATTCGATTTTAATAATAATAATAATTATTATTATTGTTGGCATTAACACAATAATATAAATTCCAACAAATCGCATTCGAACAATTCGCAAAGGAATGTCAACAGTTTAGTCATTTAGCTACAATACATTTCAACGAACCATTTGAGTGTCCATTTAAATAGAATTAAAAGCACAAATGAACATTCGGTATTTCTAGCTAGGAATGATATCCGTTTTGTAGTTTTTATGAATACACTGGCGTACGTTTCAAAATGTTTTTTAAGTAATTTATACTTGTATTGCTTAAAATTATTCACATCGAAGTATTAGCGGAGTTTTATTGCTTTTATACCTAGTACTTACTCTCAAGAGCACTAAAATATTTATTAGCATATTGAAATATAAACACTCTTTCATGATTTAATAAAATATTGTATATTTAACTTTATGGTCCCAACATAACGATAACAATGTAAATTAGATGGAACTTAAATCACAATTAAATTGTAGTAATACTTCAATAAAAAACAAATTGTAGTTTGAAGCATTCATCTTTTAATAATATGACTTAAATATGATATATTTTAAAATAACATATTAATAATGCAGTTACTCATGTAACTGTTAGTTATTGTTTTAAATTATTTAACCAATGTGACACTTTTAATGTTTTTCCTAAATCTGTACAACTGCAAATCAACTCGTTTGGAAAATATTTTTGAATTGTTGTATGCATGTAAATTTAGCTACTATTTTATAGATTTACATATTAGGTTAGTTTATTAGGTATTATATCCGAGTTGGGGAAGAAAT